GTTGAGGATTTCCTTCCTTCCTTCCTTCCTTCCTTCCTTCCTTCCTTCCTTCCTTCCTTCCTTCCTTCCTTCCTTCCTTCCTTCCCTTTGTCCCTTCACCCTTCCCTAGCCCCTCTTTCCCTTTGTAAGGGAGAGTTAAACATGCCCATGTGCTGGAGGGAAGAGAGGAAAAGCATGGTAATGGAAGGTTGAAAAAATGAAAGAGAGAAGAAATGTGATGAGTTGCTCTCTTTTTCATGGTCTTTGTGTAAAGAGTTGGGACCTTCCTCCTTTAGAGAGTGGAAAGTACTTGGAACTGGCATTGTACTCAGGGGTAGGGCACTTAGCCCGGCACACTCAAAGTTCCATGTCACATCCTTAGCATCTTATAGACTGGATGGCTCCTGTGACCCTCCTTTGGTCAGGAATTTGTCATTAGTATTTAGAGCAGGTAGAAGTGAATCCATATGACTTGTTTCTGTTCTTTGGTCTGTATATTTACCGAAAAGAGTTACATAAGGAAATAGAAGAAACATTAAACCACTAGGTTGCAGAAGTCAGGCATGCTGACCATAAGGCCCAGTCAGAAAGCATATGAAGAGATCAGCTTCCAGAATTTTATTTGTATGCACAATCATGTGGATATTCTGTTGGGTGCAGAGTGGGAACTGAGTGTAGGTGATTCTGCAGTAGTAAGTAGATCAGTGGCTTAGAGTGAGTTCGGCAGGCAGGCACACTGGCCTTGCTGCCCCCTAGCTAAGTGATGTGAGCAGCTGACTCAATGTCTCAAGTCTCCGGTTCTCCTTGTATTGAAAGGAGAACAGTTGGACATTCTGGTATATGACTCTAATCTCAGCAAGAGGGAGGCTGAGACAGGAAGTTTACAAGTTTCGTGCTAGCCTGGGCTACATATCAGAGCCCCGTCTCAGAGGTAGGGGGAAAAAAAAGAGAGAATTAGGAGGAAGTAAAACATAATGATAACAGTGTTAATTATGAGAAATGATCTCTTAAGCAAATATATCCAGCACGTAGTTATTAAACACCTGTTGTGTGCTGAGCCCTGGTCTTGGAAACGGCCAGCAGCCGTGAAGTAGATGAAGTATGTGCTCCCAGGGAGCCATCACACCACCGAGGACAAAGGTGCAGTAAAATATCTGCTAATAGGCAGCGCAGGGGAGGAAGGGGTTAATCTCGCTTACAGTTTGAGAGGATACAGTCCATTGTGGTGGGACAGGGGCAACTGTAGGAGGCAGAGAGAGAGAGAGAGAGAGAGAGAGAGAGAGAGAGAGAGAGAGAGAGATGAATGCTGGTGCCTTCTCCTTGTTCATCCCAAATGCCGTGGGATGGCATTGCCCAGATTTAAAGTGAGCTTCCCTACTCTGGTTAATCCCTCCAGATGTGTTCAGAGCCCTGTCTCCAACCACTCCAGACCCTATCAAGCTGACAATATTAACCATTACAAGAGCTGAAGAAGTCTCTATAAGGCACGGACGACACCCAGTGGCAGGTTGTGCTTCATCGGTGGGATGTAACACTACTGACCTCATGAAGAGGAGACTGGGTGGGCTGGCCACGGTCTACCTAGCTTGGCTTTGAACTGGGCTCTCCCGATGCTCCCTTCTCAGATTCCCAAATATCTGGGACTACAGACAGATGCCACTGTGCCCAGCTTGGAAACAGTTTTCTTACTTTTCCAGAGGTTTATTTATTTTTAAATTTGTATGTGTGTGCATGTGCTGAGTCTATGCACATGAACAACGTGCGTGCCTGAGCCTGCAGCTGTCAGAAAATGTGTCAGATTAAATGTACCAGGCTAAACTTGGGTCGTATGGAAGAATATCAAGTACTCTTAAACTGCTGAGCCTCCTCCTCCTCCGGCCCCATGGTTTCTTATTTTTATGATGACAAACATGTAGGGCTTCCAAGGGCCAGTGCATTTAGAATTCCTGAGTTAGTGCTGCTCCTAGTGTGTGCTTGGCGCCTGAAGAATTTAGGTATTGATATTAGTCAGTGATGAGTCAGTGATAATCACGTGTGTCTGCGAAGTCTCATTACTCCAAAGGGACCTGGGTGCTTTGTCCTCACGTGTCTCCCCTTCCTTCAGTTAAAAGATAAGCACTAGGAAAGAGCCCGACTTTTCTGAAGTTCGCTTGACACAGACTTTTTTTTTCCCCAACGGGCCCCCATATTTTGTCATATATCTGAGGCAGAAAACCAAACCCATAAAGCAAAACTTGAAGGAGTTACATTAATTAAACCCCATGCAAAACTGTTCCCCTGAAACAGCTGAAGTTCAAGGTGAGTCATGACTCAGGTTTGACGCGGAACCTTGTGTGATCGAAGTGCTGTCTGAGAGTATAGACATTAAAAGATAAATCCAAAAGGGTTTGGGAGCGTGCTGGCACTTGCCCCTGCAGACTTCAAGAACTGGAAAAATAATGGGAATCCTCAGAGAGCCAGCACGCCGCTGTATTAAAGGAGAAGCCAGGTCGAAGGTGGGCAGCCATCGGTAGCTCTGTCATTGGACAAACGTCACTCCAGAGGGACTGCCCTCAAACCTCTTAGCCGAAGGCAATTCATTAAACCTCCCCACTAATTCATAGGATTGCCTTTAGCAAGAGGAAGCGCTTTGAAAGAGGGAATTAGGGGCCTGCCCTCATTAATTAAAAACAAACCCTTGATTTTTCCTGAAGCCAGAAAAGCTTTTGTGTAATTATGGTTTGGTAGGTAAAAATAATACCACACCTAAACCCACACCCACCGAGACACTTGGCCTAACTGCCCCTGCAAGTATAACCAAGCTTTACAGAGACTGCTTTTGTTCTTGTGTGAGCCATCCCAAAGCCTCTGGAACATGTATGTCCTGGGATGGTCACATGTGTTTGATTCAGTGGTTTGTGTGTAAGTGACATCCATCCAGTTTCTTCCCTTGTTTCCTCTGGGATTGCTTGTTTTCAAAAGAATACATGGAACAGAGCGAGTGTTTCAAGGTTTCCCAAAAAACCTTGGCATGGAGTGTAACTTCCTAAGGGTTTGTTGTTTGGGGTATGTGTGGTATGTGAATATCCCCTGTATCTTCTCCAGCACCACCCACCCCGCAATCTTGAGCACTTTTTGAGGTTCTCTCTCTCTCTCTCTCTCTCTCTCTCTCTCTCTCTCTCTCTCTCTCTCTCTCTCTCTCTCAGTGGACGAATAATGAATTTACAATAGGCTGCAGGAGGAGACACTTGTAAGGTCTGCTCAACTGGTAGATCTTAAAAATAGCTCTTGGATATTGCAGTGTGGAGCGCCATGTGTGAGATCCCGGATGACATGTGTGCTTCATGTCGCAAAGCCCTTCACAAGTGTCACCCAATTAACTGCGTGCCCTCTCTGACAGGTGGCAGAGGCCCCTCTGTGGCTTGCAGAAAGGAGTTCCTCCCTGCATGTCACTGGCTCAGGACATTATCTTTGTTTGGGGGCGGAGGGGGGGTGGGTGGGCTGTCCGAGGAGAGACATCCTTTTGGGTCTTGAGTAACTTGGAAGTGCGTTTCAATGCCATGCTTTGCAACTTCTAACTTTTGCCATACAAAGTCAGTTACTTGTCTGTTCGTTTTGTGGTTGTACTTCTGAAGTAGAACCCAGGGCTTTACCCAGGCTAGGTAAATGCTTTGCCTTTGGATGACTTCTTGTGCCAAAGTCACTTCTTGCCAACAGGATCAAAAAACACAGGAGAGAGCCACTTGAGACTGACCTATCCTTTGGCAAGGTCTGCTGGAGAGACTTTGAGTACAAAGTAATTGGGATCTTCAGGACAAGATAATGGGTTGGGATAGTGCTGGGAAACTGAGTACAGCCCGAATTTAGATGGCTGCCCTTTATTAGGACTGCTAACAAGTAGACGAGACTCAGGTACTACGTTGAGCAAGGATTAGATGGCATCCCTGTCCCGAGAGAAGAGGAGGGTTACTGAGCCATTACGAGAGCAAGGCCTCAGAAAATAAACAGAGCAGAAGGGTGGGCGCAGGCTAGGGAGTGGAGGAGGACAGAGGCCCTGGGAGCTGAAGGAAGCCCCTTTGCATGAGCATCAACCACAGGGTTCATCGGATGAGCACAACCACGAGGATTGTGTGTGCACCCACCGTACATCAGGCACCCTTCAGAGCCTCAGGCACTCCTAGCACGTGTCTTGGACAGGACCTCTCTGTGCTTCAGCCTTTCCTTTGGTGAATGTAGGGTAGTAAAGCTTCACCCCTGACAAGCTTTTGGGGGAAACTAACTCAAAAAACATGAAGTCCTGTAAACAGTGTGTGGTGTCAGACGGGTAGTTGGTAAAAACTGTCGATGATAGGCGTGAAGTAAGGAAGCCTGAGATTATATTGGTTTAAGTTGCATTACTTATTATGAAACACTTGAGAAAGCCGATTTATAAAGATAAAAGGTTAATTTGGCTCATAATTTTGGAGGGAGGGTCTGGCCCAAAAATCAAATGACGACACACTCCTTCGGGCCTCTGGCATGGTGGTTGGCAGGGGTCTCTTGCAGAGTAATCCACTCATCTCATGAGTCAGGAGGCAAAGCCAAACAAGAAGAGAAAGAGACTAGGTTCTACCAGCCGCTGTGAGAGCATGTTCACAGTGAGTTGACGAGGCCTCTATCAGCTACTTTTCTGTACTGTGATAGAACACTTATGATCAAGGCGGTATGCAGAGAGTTCATTCTGGCTTCTGGCTCCAGAGGGATAAGAATTGGCCATGGCATGGCAGCAAGTGGCAGGCGTGGTGGCAGGCACAGGGAGCCAAGCTCACACTCCAAGCATGAAGCAGGGAGAGAGAGAACACAGGAATGGTATCACGCTTTGAAACCTCAAAGCGTGACACACTTCTTCCAGCAAGGCCACACCTCTTAGACCTCCCCGGACAGTGTCCCCAAGCGGGGACCAAGTGTTCAATTGCCCAAGACTGTGGGGAACATTTTTCCATTTCTCGTTCACACCACCACAGTGTCTCCTGAGGACTCCACTCGCTAAAGATTCCACCCCACCCCAAAGTGTTGAGTTCAGTTCAGAGCAGCCTCCCCGTTCTGTGAATTAAACTTTGGGACATTGAAAGTGGCTAACGGAAATGACGGAATAGAGAATATTACACTATACATATACTTCCTAGTCTACACCAATTAAAAAAAAATCCACCATCTCCCAGTAGCCCTAGTTTGAGGATCAAGTCTTTAACATAAAGACTTATGTGGGATGCCCATTCAACCTGAGACAGGCTTGATTTGTGGATAGAGATCCAGTGGGTGCCCTCAGGGGGAGGCAGATGCAAGGTAAGAACTAGTGGGGCACCCCTGGTGGGTGCTTAGGTGGTGTGTGTGGTTTATGAGGTACACTGAGCAGGTAACCCACGGGCATCTGCTGCCGTTCTTTCTGTAGTTAGAATAACACCTCACTGCAGCAATCACTGATTTTTTTTTAATGTATGCCATTTGATTGAAATTATTTAAGAGCTGATCTTCAAGAAAACGGTTCTTTGGTTTTATTGGCAATGCCTTCCTCTCTGTTCCACGGTGATCTCAGGATAAGTCAGGACAAATGGCTGTTTGTGATCCCTAACAAAACCCTGGGCACATGTGGTAGAAGATATTTATAGAGCATGGTGTGGCTTCTGCCCTTCATTGAGTGTGTTTCTGTCATTGTTTGGCTTTACAGCTTCAGCATACTGCCTTTCTCTTGCTTTATGAATAAAATCTACAGTCATTAATTAATCTACCTCATTAATGAAATGTAAATTGTTTTATAAATTTTCATTGATGATTACTATGTGTAACACACTGGTTTTTTTTGTTTGTACCATGAGATCTCCACACCCCCTTCTATATATTAATATTTTTTTATTCATTCATTCAACACATTTTCATTAGATACTTAATCTATACCGGTATTTTGTTAGGTCTTGAGACAATGGTGAATAACTAAACATAAGTACCCTGGAAGCCTTGTTGGCAGAAGAATGCGATTATACCCGGATTTGGGAGGACCTGACTCAGTCCCAGGGGTCCAGGGAAGCCAATGGAGGAGGTGAAGCTTCTAGTCTTCCTAAAGTTCTGTCAAAAGTACACTTTGCACTTGAGGCTCCAGTCATGCATGACCTTCAAAGACGTCTCCAGTCTTTGCTCGGCACTGACAGTTGCCTGGTGACTCCTTCTTTCCTGTTCCCACTTCCCATAGGGTGCAGCCCTCACCCTAGCTCCAGAACACTTGGTGAACTCTGAGGAGGTTTACATATTGCTCTGTATATAATTTAGGGCAAGGCACTAAAGAATCCTCCGTGTCCCAAGACCACATTTTCTCTTCAGTACAGTAGGCATTTTCAGGAGTGGTTAACGGCAACTGTGTGCTGAGGAAAATTTAGTGTATTCAAAGAAGGGCCTTCAGAGCAACCCTGTTTTAAGGTTTAACATTTAAAGTTTATGAGTTTTGTGGCAAAGGTGAATGCTCCTCCTGGATTGTCTTTGTCAATTTGTATAGAGTGAATGAAAATGGTGAAGTATACATCATTTGCATACATTGTTTTAAGGCTCCATAGGAAAAAATGTGGCTGACTTGGACTTGGATTCTTACCACTTTAGAAGTTAGGTCTTTAAGAAACAGAAAAGCAGAGGGTCTGGAGAGGTGACCCAGCAGTTAAGAGTACCAGCTACTCTTCTAGAAGACCAAAGCTTGGTTCCCAGCATCCATGTTAGGCGGCTCACAACTATTTGTGACTCCAGCTTTTAGAGGATCTGATGTCCTCTTCTGGCCTGTGTGGATGCTCACATATGCACACATGCGCAAACACATACACACCCAATTAAAAAACAAAACCTTAGCAATAAAACCAAAACACCAGATCTGTTTGTATCATGCAAAACTCTTTAGCATCTTAACCCTCTAATTATAACCCTACTTGTGTCTGCTTCCTTTTGAAATGGACTTGTGGTGCTTAGGGACATTGCCAGCCTCCCCATCCTGTTTCCCAGGTATATCACTCAGTGTGTTCAGACTCCCTAGGAAAGGACCATGTGTGTTCTGCCCTTGGCCATCGTGTCTGAATATGTTTCCTGTTTGTACTCTTTTGAGAGTTTTATTTGTTTGCTTTTCCTAAAGAAAAAAATTGCTATCTGGTAGGGGAATATTGGCATAATGGACTGCTTACACGCAAATTTTCTGTGCATGCCGTGTGTGTGTGTGTGTGTGTGTGTGTGTGTGTGTGTGTGTGTGTGTGTGTGTGTGTGTATGTTTTCTAATTACCACACCTTCATGATATTTAGGTGATGGAGGTCTAGCTGAGAAGAAGCTTCCGTTCTTCTTCTTTTTTTTTTTTTCTCGAGACAGGGTTTCTTTGTGTAGCTTTGCGCCTTTCCTGGAACTCACTTTGTAGACCAGGCTGGCCCCGAACTCACAGAGATCCTCTTGCCTCTGCCTCCCGAGTGCTGGGATTAAAGGCGTGCGCCACCACCGCCCGGCCTGTTCTTCTTTTCTATGCTTTAAAAGAGAGAGAGAGAGAGAGAGAGAGAGAGAGAGAGAGAGAGAGAGAGAGAGAGAGAGAGAGAGAGAGAGAGAGAAGGACAAAACAGTTAAGAAAAGGGAGAGAAAGGCAAAATTCTGCGAGGAAAAAGTCTTGTTTTGTCTCAATTTAAATTATCCAATGCAATAAAAACAACATAGTATTAGATATGTGATCTGTTTTGAGGGGAGGATTTAAGACAGGGTCTCAAGTAGCCCAGGCTGGCCTCTAATTCACTATGCAACTGAGGATGACCTTGAACTTCTGACCCTCCTGTTTCTATCTCCCAAGGGCTGAGATTGCCACCAATTCTGCATCCTTAAATGGCCAATGTTTTACAAAGATCTATAGAGAAGAAATTAGTTATCTTATGACCAATGCAATTAAAAATTCTCACCACGGGCAGGTCTTCTGTGTCATGGATATGTTAGGTCCTGGTTAATGATATGAGGTTATAGTAGAGTGTACATGTGTGTATGTAATTTTGAATCAGCTGTGACGTGGGATTTCTGAATCATTTCAGAAATAATGAATAATAACATGTAGTTTAAACAGAAAAAATTGTTGTGCTTTATGGTTGTAAAAGTAGAGTCTGCACACTGTAGGGAGAAGATCAGAAGAGCTTAAAAAGGGAATAAAAGTTACATTTAAGGTTCCCACTTGCTTTTCTAACTCAGCTATCACTGTGGCCTTCTATCTGACATATATATTTGTTCAGCAAGTATTAAAAATTTCTTTTGAGTATTTGTACATGCTTATTTTCATGTCTTTATTTCTGAGATTCATCTCTGCTAATCATGAGTCTATTTCCTACCTGAAGTAATATTTCTTATTAATTTATCAGCACCCTGTGTGTGTGCAAGTATAGGGTACACATGTTTGTTGATGTGTATGCCTGGGTATGTGTGTGGGCAGAAGTCAATGTCTAGATTCTTCTTCGATGCCTTCCAGCTTAGATTTTGAAGGCAGGGTCTCTCACTGAACCTGGAGCTCAGTGATGGGCTGGACTAGCCTGACTACCAAGTCCCAAGGATCCTCCTACTGTCCCTCCTCAGGGCTGGATTTACAGATTCTCACTGCCATGCTGGGCCTCTTACTTGGGTGCGAGGGATCCAAAACTCTGGTGTTTTCATGGCAAGCATGTTTCCAATGCAACCATCTCCCCAGCTCAAGCAGTCTTTATATATTGGGCCATTTAATTGACAGCTATCATATTCATGTCATTTTTGTTTTGTGTTTTCACAGTGCTGAGGCTGGAACCCTGGGCCTCACGTGTGTTCATCATGGGTTCTTTCCACTGAGCTACACTACCAGCCCCAAAGTGCGTGCGTGCGTGCGTGCGTGCGTGCGTGCGTGCGTGTGTGTGTGTGTGTGTGTGTGTGTGTATGTATGTATGTATGTATGTATGGGGTTTTGGGGAGGGTCCTGGGGAGCCCTCCTGTAGGTGATGGAAAGAAGTTGGGTTTTCAAACAAGAATTTCTCTCCCTGGCGGAGCAGCAGTGCCCTGGCTGCAGTGGTGGTGGTACCCACAGTTATCGATGCCCAATGAACGTCACTTCGGTGGCCACAGTTACTTTTCCCACCACTGTGATCAACTACTTGACCGTTACAGTTACTCTCTCATTTTTGTGACAAATACCCAGACAAAGGCAACTGCAGGGAGAAAGGGTTTAATTCTGGCTGAGGGCATTGAGTCCACGATGGCGGTGAAGGTCTGGAAGCAGGGGCATGAGGTCATCCCATCACACACCAGCAGTCCGGAAGCAGAGAGCAGACAGGAAGTGAGGCCAGGCTACAACACCTCAAAGCCTGTACCCAGTCACGTACTTCCTCTCGTGAGGCTCCACCTCCTAAAGGTTCCAGAACCTTCCCTAACTGTACCGCCAGCTGGGGACCAAGTGTTCAAACACAAGACGAGTCTACAGGGACATTTCAAACTCAAACTACAACACCAACAAAAAGCAAGTGGAGGAAGGAAGGACTTCTTTGGGTCACATTGAGAGGTGATACAGTCCACCATGGCCAGAGGGATGGTTATATTGTATCTGCTGACTGTCAGAAGTGAGCATGCCCAGCTGGCTCCCACCCACCCCTTTATTGAGCATGATATCCCAGTCCATTCAGGAGGCTTAGTTGAACCTCTCTGGAAGTGTCCTTAAAGACATATGCAGAGCCATGTCTCCTAGGTCATCCCAAATCCAGTCACATCGGCAAGGATTAACCATCCGTTAACAATTAACCGTATTGTCTTCACGGAGCCAATCAGTACTTCCTGTTTGAGCTGCTGGAACCATGTGTAATACAGTCAGGCATTTGGGCTGGGTGGGTGAACTCTGTCCTGGCTAAATGGTGCTTCTGTAACAATTAGTACAGCATAGAGTGTAGCAGTTTCAGATGTGCAGAGAGAAAAAGTTGGCCTTGCGGCTGTGAAAGAACGAACAAGATCCTGACTAATGGCTGCTGCTGCGCCCGTGAGGGTAGATTTATGTTTAGACCAGAGTAAACTATGCATCCAGGTAATAATTTTGAGCAATGAAGTAAGTTTGCTACAGGAATCGTTAAAGAAACAGATAAATCACAGTAATTTCAACATGGCACTTTTGCCATTCAATAAATGGGTATTTTAAAT